CCCCCCCCCCCCCCCCCAAGCTACTCCCTTGACATTATTAGTCTTACTGCCTTTCCCTAGGTAAATTCCTGTGTCATCCCTGGGAACCTCAGGGAAGTTGCGCTTTTACAGTATTTTAGTTTTTTTTTTTCCCATGACAAGATATGCGATCTGTATGAAAATGCAAATGACGGACTACATTTCGATCCCTTCCCCAATAGTATCCCATCCCCATGATCACCAGTTACAAATCTACTGGAAAGAACTGCCAGAGACTACCCGTTTTTTTTTTACAAGAAAAGGCAAATTTCTGCCGTACTGGTCGAAACGGAGCTCGACGCTACATTGCAGAGTTCATGTCGGTTGGTTGATAATGTATTAGAGGCAATTCACCCACGACAAGCTAGCAAGAGAAAAACACAAATAAAATCCTGACACTTACTTTAAAATCCAAGAAGAATTGTCCTCAGGCAGCCGTGTCCACACAAGAAATTTTACAGGCCCACAAAAGACAGTAGCCTGAAGTGCCTCTACTTTGTTTGTCCTCAACAGCGAGGCCAAATCGGTGGACCCTTCTGAAGACTCCGCCATGATGGCTACTTCTCTGAGTACTTGGCCTCCCTCGGGGTGGACCTTACATGACAGGGCCCGTAAGGGGCTCAAACTGTCATTTCTCGTGCTGCCGATTATCGAGGTAATATTTATAAGTTTTCACGATTTATTTTGTGGAATTGTTACTAAAATACGTAAAATTGGAAATAATAAGCAAGAATTCTATTTTGAACGTTTTAAATTTAGCAGAAAAATAGCTCCTTGTGTTCATAAATTGTCGTACCTCGGTCGGTTCACCTTCGACTCTCTCCGGGGCGCTTTTTGGCGCTTAGAACACTGGGAAGGCTTGGTCGTCCCTCGCGCCATCTGCTTTTCAGTTGAATGAAATTTGTCTAGCTTCTTGAGGCAATCAGCTCACATTTGTGGATATTAATATAGCTTGAAGCGAGGATGAGTGATACAGATGATAGAAATGGTTCTGAAGAAAAGGTAAGGAAAGTATTCGGCTCATTTTATGCGCCAAAATGTGCTTATTATAAACAAAACTTTGGCTACCGTAAACTATCGGGTTTTTGCTCACCAATTTCTCAAGTTTGAATGACTGACAATCTTCGTTTGCCATTAGAGCAAATGGCTGTTGTCGAGAACGGCATCAAAAGCCATCAAACCTGTAGTTAAATGACAAATTCCTTGGGTGGTTTTCTTGGTTGATTTTATTTTGGTTATGTTTTTATTTTGGCTAGCCAGCATGAGCTTTTTAGCTTTCTTACAAGCTTACGAAATAACGATCTCAAACAATTTCTTGAAATGGGGAACTCGTTGAGTCAAGAATGCTACGAATGAGAGATCCGTCTCCCTTTAAACAGTTAAAATTTTACTTTAGTGGGAAAAACAATCGTCTCAAGAATTGTGCCTAGTACTGTAGTTCAGAAAATACATGTGTGCCTCTTTGAACTTATACTAGCTATTAGATGGTTATGGAATGTGTGAAACTGTAACAAGAGTTCAGTTGGGCTTTAACTTGATATGTTAAGTTAACCACACAGCTCTTCTACCTTTTCTTTGGCCAGACTCTATATGAACTGGAAATCAGAGGAATTAAAATAACACTGGGAACCTCTCTTGAAACCTGAATACTCACTGAAAATGCATGAATTTAGAGAAAGTTAACCTCGTAATCATCCTAACTGGCATGATAATAATTTGCGAGATCTACCAGAGAATGACAATCAGAACTCAGAGCCCCTGTTGGCGGCTAGATATCTAGAGTTGGTATGTCTTTAATGCGGTCAGAACTTAAAGCCATTAGACCCTATAACATTTGCACTAGGCTAACTCTACGATGATAGATTGTAACTGTTGCAAATCCATCTTCTCTTACAAAGATTTGGATATTGGAGTTTTTCAGTTTTACGGTTTTGGTCAATTTTTAGACCAGCTTTGTAGTTTTCGCTTAAAATATCAGTGTTTTTGGTTTTGGTATCTCTTGCAATTTTTAGTTTTTCTTTTATATTTACTTGTCTACCTATAGTTCTCAGGCAGTGGTTTTAAATGAAAATGCGTTGATCCCTCAAAAAGGAAAATTACCTACCTGTCTTCTGCTGCTGTATCAAGCTGAGCAGATTCAAGTTTGTGAATTTGCAGTTTTAATCATTGTGTTCAGTGGTTTTTCAGTTTCAGTAATTTTTATGGTGGCTTTTCGTTTCTCAAAAAAGAGCAGTTTTCCAGTTTCTAGGTAGTCCTCCTCTGCAAAAATTTGTTTAGACTAGTGAGAGTTAAAACTAAACAGCAAATGTACATTAGACCGTCCAAAGTTAATTATTCAGAGTCTTGTTAGTGTCATGACTTTTAGTTTCTTTGCGTATGCACATATATTCCACTGAGGGGTTTCATTAGGGCTGGGCAGGAACATTTTTGTTATAAATAAGTTCAGTTCAAAACCTTTTGCCTGCCTGTGAAAACCAGTTGCCCTCCTACTGAAAATGTTAATGAGTCCCCTGTATTTTGTTTCTTAGACAAAAGTATATGTATGTTATTGAATGAACCGTTGATGCCATAACATTGCAGGATGTCAGTGATAGAGATGATGAAGAGCAAGCTGGTGAGTACAACGGAGCAGGATCCAGATCAGCTTCCCGTTCAAGGTCTCGCTCAAAATCTCGCTCTAGATCACGTTCAAGGTCTCGTTCAGGATCCCGTTCCAGGTCAAAATCTCGCTCCCGATCTGATTCCAGAGATAGATCAAAGTCAAGGAGTCGAAGTCGTTCACGCAGACGCCGTTCTCGTAGCAGGTCACGTTCACATTCAAGGAGGAGGCGAAGATCCCGATCTCGCAGTCCATATCACTATAGGCACAAAAGGTATTGTATGTTGTATGTGTTTATAGTATTGCCAGATATAGCAGGTGCTGTTGGTTTAGACATTTTACACTGTTTTGGGGGAAATTTGAAGCAATATTATTTTGATCTTAAATCTCTAAAAATGCTAAACATTAATAATATTTCTCTCAGTTACTCAACAGTATAGTTTTGTTTTTATTTCTTCTATCAGATCAAGAAGTGTTTCACCCCTGTCCTCAAGGAAACGTCATGTTGGGAGTCGGGTAATTCTAACTTTTCAATGTGCATAGTCTTTATAACTTGTAGACTCTTTGATTTTTTGACAATGTTTTATTTTGCTCTAATGCATGACCCCAGCATCTCTGCTGATGGTTTTATCCTGATTAATAAAGTTCTTCAGTTCACTGAGTTCTGTTTTTAGCAGATTTTACTGCAGTTAATAATAAATTGATATTATTCCTCTTTTCATGACAGGATAACCCAGAAGTGAGCTGTTGCCTTGGAATTTTTGGACTAAGCTTGTACACTACTGAACGAGATTTAAGAGTGTACTTTGAAAAATATGGCACTGTTGAATCAATCCAGATTGTCTATGATCGCCAGGTATGAAACTGTATACATGTATCATGATGGCTTGGAAACTTGAGAGTTAATGAAGCAGTAATAGACAATTCTCAGACTGGATCAATAGCCAGCCCACCCAGCCAGTGACTTGTCTTTATATGAAAAATCAGTGTAGATGTAAGTGGTTGATAGCACTGTAAATTAGACCATGAGCTTGAGTTTTCTATGGGCGAATAGTCAACAAAGCTAGGGAGCTAACTATCACTCATAGAAAACAAGGGCAAATAGTTAAATTATTGTTTTAGTAGACATTCTTAACAGCCCAAAATCTACAATTTGTGTATTTTTAAGCCAAAATGTAAGAATAATTGTCAGTGTCAAGTGCAGTGTGTGTGACCATTGTTTATCAGTGAAGAGAAAATGACAAGAGAACCAATCATAGAACACAGCTGAGTGGCTACTAATTATTTACATGTATAGTATGGCACACACTCTTACCGGTGCTATGTAAAATTTTACTTATGTTGTTTCAATAATGCAGAGTGGCCGCTCAAGAGGGTTTGGATTTGTCTACTATGAAGCACCTGAAGATGCAAGAGAGGTTGGTTGCACTGATATTTGTTTTCTGACTTAGTTATGTCATATTTTTGCTGCTGGCATAGGGCAGCCTCCTATTTCTGTCCTGTTATCTTGACTTCAGGTTGTCTGTTTGTCAGTAGTTCCCAGGCCTCACTACGTAGAAAGTCTGCGATTGGTGAATTTGGGATGGACCAACTTGAATCTGAGACCTTGTGCTTTGACCGTTCGTTGAGTACAGTTGTTGATGCAAAAGGAAGCATTCAAAGAGATTGATTATTTTGAAGTAGTTGATCTCCTAAAACAGGGACAAAAACACGCCATTTTGTTCATGACAAATTTTTAAAGTCCAGGCGTTCCAACCAACTTTAGGCAAAGAGCCTGGAAACCAATTTTCATTGTCCAATGTAATGCCTGGTTACTAAGTTGCAGAAGTCCAAGAACAGAACAACAAATTCTTCATGTAAAATTCTACAGAAAACCTGTGTTAAATGAAGAAATACCGGTCAACAAATACTGGAAACAGATCAAGCATATGTCAAAGTTGGCAGGCATGATGTTTAATAAGTTTACTCTGGTAAAGAGCTTAAAATGTGGGTAAAACTTTGAAGTGCTTTTCGTTTCACTGTTGTTCGGTACACTGGAAAGGCTTTATTATCAATTTTTTTAGCTGTTAAAATTTCTACATACATGTAATCCAGTGTGTTTTCTGCATAATTGACACATTTTTCTGCATTTTCCCCCCCAAAATGTCAGATGGCATGTATTTTCCTCTTGAACTGTGTTGCTCATTCCTCTTGGTGGCATCTAAAGTATGACACCACAAAGATAAAAGCTTCATATACCAACTTAAGATCCCCCAGTGGAGGTGCAGTGGCCTCATGGTTAGTGCACTCGTATCCATGTGATATATTTATGTCTCACCCCCACGGTCTTTCTACATGGCGCAGCACTTCACTTCCAATATGGAACCCCTAGTTTACAGTTATCTTAATGTCGCTTGAACTTGAAAGTTTTCTCAGCAAACTTTCTCTCTTGTTAGTCTCGCTTTCTCACAAAGACTGGCCTTTACCATTCGCCACTCCTTACATGAGAAAAAAGATTGTCAAAAGAAGTGTCAGATATTTGGAGTATCCACAAATGCCATTGAGTTGGATTAAAACAGAGCTTAAAAAGGAAATTTATTTGTACATGCACAACTGTACTAGGAAATACATTGAAAAGTTTTAACAAGTCACTCGAACAGTGAATGTTACTGAGTCAAAAGCAAAGTTGGTTTATATATACTTTAGCATCTTTCTTTTCCTGATGTCAAACAACTTGTAAACACTGTAAAACAACAAAGATATTACTTGGCCAGTCAAATGCAAGTGGCAATGCAAGCCAAAACCAAGTTGACTAGCAGTCATTGTGCGTAGTGAGATGGAGCAAAAGCTAACGGCCTTAAAAACCTGTTAGTTGGAAAGGTGCCCATGTGCAAATGCTTCTATTATCACTTGTTATTAGTAATTTATTGGTGTTTGTCCATGAAAAGTCCTTGGAAAAAGGTTGCAATCTTCCGTTTGAACCCTGTAAACCCATCTATTTTCCTCTTACAGGCAAAACAGTGCACCAATGGTTTAGAAATTGATGGTCGGCGAATACGTGTTGATTACTCCATCACCAAACGAGCTCACACTCCTACTCCAGGAGTCTACATGGGAAAGGCTACACAGTAAGTTCCAGTGCTGTTGTTGATCCTCACACCCACAGCAAACTATGCAGTGTGAAGGTTCAAGGCTTTTACTAACAGCCCTGTCTGCCACGACACGAGTAGTCAAGTTTATAACCTGCATGTACCTGGTGTTTGCAGACTAGCTACTAAATGCTTACAATCCTCTGACTTTCTTCCAGGCACCGAAACTACCGGAAAAGTCACTATGATGATTACACCCGTGACAAGGAGTACTATTCAAGGGACCGTCATCGAGATTATTATGGTAGCAGTGGGTATCGCTCTCGCTCTAATACACCACCACGTGAGTATGGACATTGTTTTATGCCATGATCCAATGCTAGGTCATCCTCCTTACAAGCAGACAATGTTTGATTTTTCTTTAACAAATGTTATTCAAGTAATTTCTGGTAATTTCTGGTCATCTTGGTTTTGTTTCGTTTTGTTATTTCTTCCACTGACTTGTTCCTTTTGTCTCTTTCAGGTCGTTACTGATAATGAGCGAGATGTGTGGTATTATTTATACAATGCTTACATGTATCTGCCTGTAGATTATCACTAGACAATATAAGACTACATAGGAATAGGTGTAAGCTAGAGCTTATTTTAGCTACAGTAGTTCTGATCTGCCCTGAGGTAAAAGATACTTGAGGAAGCATGTGTGCGGATGTGATCCCCCTCCATTTTAAATATGATAGAAGAACTTGTGATTGGTTAGATTTGTCCGTGACAGATATCTGAACATTCCTGCAGATGTCACCAAACTGTCACGCAATGAAGAAAGACCGCTTGACAAGCAGCTTTCAATTGAACGCTTCCATGTAAATTACTCTTCTGTTTAGCTCACTTTGTTGTATTATGCTTAGTAATGCTCTAGTTAGGCTCAAGCAAGCACTTTTTAAAGTCTCATCGTCGTAGTTTGTCTTTCTTTACAATGCTTTTGTTGGTCCAACTATTACGAGACCCTTAACTTGTGAACTTTTAAGTGGAAAAACATTGGTATGTGTGTTATTTCCTTGTAAGATCCTTACATAAGTGATTCATAAGTTTAGTGAAAAGGTTCCGTTGCCAGAAGCCGTCACATGTTGTTATTTTACAAACAAAATTCGTTTGGCCCTTGGTGCGCGGTGAGTCTTAACACCAGTATTTTTCTAGTTAGGAGGGCGCAAATTAACACAAATAATGTCATTAGATTTTCACTGAAATGTTTTGAGGCTGGAAATGTGTAAGTTACCCAATGGATATTTTGATTTATCAGTTTTGTCAAGTATTTCTGTAGATGACTGTTTTGCCGAGTTAATCAAACAGTTATTTTATTTGTTTTAAAATTTGTAGCGAAATAAAGTGCATCGTTTAGCTCGTTTGTCGATGTTAACTTAATTTTGTTCTGCGACAGGGTAGAAACAAGCATGAAATATGAAGATTTCGAAGAAAGAGCGAAGACAACGTTTGGTTGTGAATTTTGCAAGTAGTGCAAGAAAGAAGAAAAATTGAAGATTGAAGCAATTAAGTTCAAAGTGAGAAACGAGGGAGAAAATGAAGAAAGAAAGGGGAAGATTCGGAAAGGAAGGGAAAAGAAAGCGGAGATCGATTCGAGGAGCAAATGAAGTAGTAAAGGAAGGGAAGTTTTGGAAGAAAAGTCGCCAAGTCGTGGCAAGAATAAATGAAGATTGCGAAGAAAGAAAATGTCGCGAAGAAAGCGAAGTTGAAGAAGAAAGAAGACGGGAAGAAATTTCCTGAAAATCGCTTCTTGTAGAGGACAGGTGAAGAACGGAAAAATTAGCTTGACCTCTACAAGTAAAATGAAGATATTGCAAACGAAGATATCGTTGAAATTATGAACCGGCGATTCGAAGAATTACGGAAGAAGAAATCGATTCTATTCCGTGCAGGTAAGGTGGAAAACTCAGTTTTTCATGTTTGCGCCAAAGTTTTGTTTCGAAAACGAGGCCTTTCAGTCGCTAGTATTTTTTCATTGGCGTTTGAACGAATTTACCGTAATCGGAGCAGGTGAACATTTCTTTGCACTTTTTTGGGGATCGCATAGTCACTAAAACTGCTGAGGAATGTCCAATGAAAAGGAACTTCTTATGCCGTCGTTTTCATACGAAGGAGAAAGTTGGCTTTCGCGCGCTTCATTCGTTTACCGCGCTTCACGTTCTTCCCCGCTAAGCCGCGCCTGTTCTGTAGACTAATTCGCTCCAAAGAGAAACCTATCTGCTAGTAATTCAACCATTTCTCTACTGTCGTGAAGGGGTTAAATACGGGATTCACTGAAGATCGGATCTGTTAGGCGCGCATTTCATATTTCAGGAGTGCTTACCGTTATCTGGGTTCACCACTGCTATTGGTAGCGACCCAAGTAACGTCTGTGATGGAGAGTAAAAGAGCGTTGAGTGTTGTTCAACATTAAAAGCTCTGGCATAATTAGTTCCCGGTCCTCAGTCACGTGATTGAAGCTGAATAAAGGTATTTGTTGTGTGAAAAATGATGACTCCTTATTGAGTTCCATGTTACGTTGGGATCAGTCGACTAAGTTGAGACTTGACTGTGAAGTAGGCTAGGCTAGGCGATCGAGAGAAGTGTCAAACACGTAGTCACTGGACTGCATTTTAATCTTGATCTTTCATCAGCC